CATAACAGCCCATCTGTCCGTCTGCCGTCACTATGGCAGCTGCCATTCATAATTTGGATCAAAGAGGGCCTCATGGTCAGCAGGACTGCTGGGAGATTTAAGGTCGGAGAGAAACTGTGGGCAACATCAATCCAAATTCACAAAATCCCAGGAGTGACGTGGGACATCTGCAAGGTGCACGCCTCCATTTGAGGAGTGAGGATCACTGACAGGTCAAGGAGAGAGGAGGGAGACGCCGCCGGCATTTCAAAATATAGAAGAGGAATAATATGAACAAGGGTCAAAACTTCAAAAGGACGTCCTGCATGACAAACACATGGCGCAACATGAACTAACTCAGAGAACTGGGGTTACAAAAGTAACCTAAAGTTTGTTGGCTTGGAAGGTTTAATGAACAAATACCTTCAGTGATGTATTCCTTGAGGTCGTTTTGTTGAACTGGTGATTGGATGTAATGGTTATAAATATCCTAAAGCCCCCCCCTGCCCCCTTGATGCTGTTTACCTGGTCTGATCTGAGTCCATGCAGCATCCGAGCCAACAGCAGCCTTTGGTAATACTCAGAGCTCTTTCATTGTTTGAATACCTGCTGTCTGAATCTGGCAATAATAACTGTGATTACACAAATGCTTTACCTTGGGCAGCATTATGGAATTAGTAGAACAGCAGGGTGAAACTGTAGAGGGATCTGTGGACCGCTTCCGTTCAGACATTTACACATTAATGGAAACAGAAATATGTATCTGAATGCCATCGAACAAGACATTCAATCATTTTTAATTGCCACAATGATTTGTTAGACGCTCAAAGACTCGTCTGTAGAGGGGACTATTCATCAGAGACAGCCCCACTTATGTGTGGTGTCCCACAAGGGTCTGTGTTAGGCCCAATCCTGTTCTCATTATATATGCTACCACTGGGATCAATTTTTATCTTTTCACTTTTTTGCTGATGATGTACAGGTCTACATGCCTTTGAAATGCAAGGGTTCACTACAACCCTTACCCTTACCAAGAGTCTTGGTATGAACTTTGATCATGTTTTTAAATTTGGCAAATTGATATCCACCGTTGTGAGATCTAGTTTTTACCAGCTCAGACTTACAGCCAAAATAAAAACAATTAATTTTTGCTTTTACATGTCTTTATGATGTTTTGGATGTAATGTAGTTTGCCTAATTTACTGTACAGCACTGGTCCGCCTCAGCTGTTATAAATGTGCTATATAAATAAAGTTGACTTGACTGGACTGGATTGAGCTCAGGTATGTGTTTACATGGACGGGACGGCCGGCTCCTCCCCTTGTGTTTTAGTCAAGGAGTAGAGAAAAGAAGAAGAACTGATTATTTGGATGTCATGTAAGTGTTTTTCGATCACCCTCATTCTGTGTCATATACATGCAATGTGAAGCTACGAGCTAACACATAGTCGGTTTGCAAAATCCGCCAAAAAGCAGTAAAAGAAGAAGAAGCAACCATGGCAACCACTCGCTGGCTGAATCCATCCTACTAACTGTGGATGTTTTTGTTATTTCTGAGACGCCGACAACGACCCTCTTCCTGCGTCCACATCAAGCAGCTCAGAGGAGGAAACGGGGCCGATGCTGCACCGGTTTGAAGCGACAGGAGCCGTTTAGTATGACGTCATTTAGCGGCCCATTTCCTTGTTTGAGCACGGTTGTGTTCACATCTCTTCATGAAGACTCGGGCCTTTGGGGTCAAGTGTACTCAGATCCACGCCTGGGTCCCTGATGAGAACCCCCCCCCCCCAGGGTGTCCAGGTTGTGACTGCGTCGTAAACACAGTCTGTCTCTGTGTAGCGAGCAGGAAGTCTCAGCAGCCCCGAGCACAGCGGCTGGCATCGATCACTGGCACCGCGTGGTTGTTCTGTGGGCAGACGCTGTAAAATGTTACTGATTGCTTCTTTAAAGATTATGGATACAACAGAAGGCATCTGCTTCAAATGTGTTTCGTCAACACGGACTCTTCTGCACGTCGATGTTAAGTGTTTGCCTCGTTCTCGTCTTTCTCGTGTCAACAGCGGAGAGCCGGCTGCTCTTGAAGAATCCCATCGTCATGCCTCGCTGGTCCCTCCGCTGCCTTTATGTATCTCCTTGCTACCCCGAGGCGACAGGGATTGTCTGAGCTTAAACACAGAGGAGGAGAGGGAGTCCTCTTTGTCTCAGATCCTCCCCGTCTCTGTCTCTCTCTGCATGCGGTTACTGCCACTGTTTGTCTAAATCATCACAGGCCGGGCTTGTCCTCGGTGAAGTATTAAACGCCACACTTCCTGCCCTCATCTCTGTAAGTCTGCAGGTCTGACAGTCTCTTCATTCTGCAAGAGAGCACACGGCCACACGCTCCATCCATCCACACACACTCCATCCACTGCCACTGTACTCCCGGCTTTATCTTCTTTCCATACCGCGCGGATCTCATGGAGCTGCACGCTCACTGCTGCTCTCCATTCTTTCTTTTAAAGCAGAGGTAGCATATGTTCTCCTTTTGTGCTAATCTAAATAATTATACAGAAGTCATCAGGGTGATATATCAGTCTGAGTCTTTAGTGCTTTTAAACTGAAGGTGTAAGAGGATTTCCCGATCTTAACGAGCAAGGCCGGTCTCTGGGGCCCAGCTGAGGTCATCAGAAACAAGGTCCATCCCAAAATCGAAGCAGCAATCTCAACATTTTCACCCTAATACTCAACTTAACAAGCAACTAAAATACATGTTTCATTGCTGAATTAATCAGCGTTTTGAACTGTTCTGTTACGATACTGGATCGTATTTTATCGTTCACAAAAGTTGGGCAGCTTAAAAAAAGAAAGGAGAAGAAAATGAGGAAGCTGGTCGGAGCGTTTGAAGCCCAACAGGAACTTAACGTTTTTAAAGCCACTTCAACTACCAGTCACAGCCAGAACGAGGAGGTGAGGGTCATCCAGGATGCTAAGGCTACTGATCGATCCCGAGTCATTTCTGTGGGCGGGCCTCATTTTCTTGACATCTTGACTCATCTATCTTGTTATCTAAGGATACAGAATGCAGCTTTTCCCATGAAAATGAGTGGATTTCTCGGCTGAGAGCTCACCTAGAGTACAGGTAGCTAACAGGACTACAAACTCCACCTGGAGAAAACAGATGTTTCTAAAGGAGCTGCACATCTGCAGAGACGATACACGTTGTGCAATGAAAATCATCACACAGGACGACACTGTTTTAATCAGACAGAAATTGAAGTGCAGCTTATTGCATCATGAATACGGAATCTGATTTTGGGAATACTTGTATTAAATTGCGCTCTGTGGCTGCAGCTTTGAGGAATATCACATCTCTGTCTCCATGGTGCAGCGTGCACGCTCATAAACGAGCAGAAAGGTGAAAGGTTGAGTCTGTGCTGCCACAGGTTGCAGGTCGACTTGTAATCATGCTCATTGTTAGATTTGGACGACACAGGCAGCGTCCTCTCGTCAGACTCATGAAAGTCTGTAAAGTTTCTATCAGCTCGAGGACACCCCAACCCCCCACCGCCGCCGAGGGATTGATGCAGGGAGGGGGAATAAATGATGGCGATATCAAAGGGAGGCCCAGTGTCTTGTCCTTCGGGCTCGGCGGTCCGGATGTGGCTCTGTTTCCTCTGACATGATGAGGAGCAGCGTGCGGCTTTGAAATGAACTTGACCTTGATATCACGGGGAGGCCTGTTGACAGCCTTAACATCCGTCTCTTCCTTCTTTTTTTTATTTTTTTTTTATCGTTATCTAAATTTAGACGTAGACGGCTGAAGGGAGAGATATGATCTGTTCACATCGTTGCTTCCTTGAGATCAAATGAAGCGTGTGTGTGAGCTGCATCCATGAAGCCTTTATCTGCAGATCCACATCTGAACGACGAGAAGTCTTTGAAAAGATGAAGACGACCAACAGGATGTGAGGAAGTGTTTCATTAATAACGTTCAGGGTTGAGCAAAATAAGAATGTCCAAAGAGCGACAGTAAGCCTACTAATGACCTGGACCCCTGAACAGATGCAACTTTTTAAAAGGCCCGACTGATACGAGATTTCTGGGGCCGATACTGATATCGATATTGGGAAGAGAAAAAAACCAAATACCGATATATCTGCCGATATCTTTCTTACATCTATGTTACATTCAGTAGAGATAGATGAATTTATTGTTTTATCAAACACTTGTGGAAAAGATTTATGATGAGGAGAAGTTGGTCACTCGACTGAAAAGTAACTGAGCATGAACGTGCGTCACCGCTTGTTGTTTTAATCCATATAGCGCCCTCTGCTGGTGACAGAGAACTGCTGGTGTAATACAAGGAAACTGAAATTAAACTCTATTTGACAGATTAATAAATCTAGTATATCGCCACATATCTGCGATAAAATTAACCGATACTGATAGTCTCTTGAAACGCTCCTATCGGCCGATATTTCAGGCTGCTGCGAGGTGCATGTGTGAACATCCAGGTGAGGAGCAGTCCTCCTGAAGTCATCGAGATAGTTTCAGGAGTTCATATGTGAAAAGTGTTGAAGAAGTTAGTCTCCTATAAATTTTTAGTTATAAATAAACACAATCAGGGTAATATGGGGGTCAGGGCCCCTCAGCTGATTCCGCCCTGAGGGCCCTGTTGTGGGTTAATCCGGCCTTGTTTCTCATGACATAGATCTCCTTTGCATCAACAGGCATTTCATCCAGAGAAATAGCTGTTGGAAAACGATTTTTCTTACATCAGCTTGGTGTTGTAAAGTATTTCTCACGCTCTGCTCTGAGGAGGACCCTCGGGAGTCCCCGGGTCCCGGTCGGAGCAGCAGCCGGTGCCAGAGCTGCCACAACACAGCGGCTGGTTAGGGGTGATGGAGAGAATGCGGCAATCCATTGGCTGCAGGCTTAGTAAATTTCAGGCCGTGTAGTCCAATAGAGAGAGAGAGAGAGAGAGAGAGAGAGAGAGAGAGAGAGAGAGAGAGAGAGAGAGAGAGCTCTGCTTGCTCTCTCTAATCTTGTCCTCGGAACACACTCTCTCTATGAGAGCAATTAGATTCAGCAGCGCTCCCGTTGCCTCTGCAATGACTCATTGAAACATCTTCTGCGCTGATAAAGCCGCATCTCTATTCTCCCGCACCACACACACACACACACACGCACACACACACTCACGCACGCACACACACGCACACAGGACGTATGGTTGGGCTGCCTTCAGTGCTTCGGGAGTGCTGCGCTTCTGACTTTGGATTTGCGGAGCGGGAGGCTGGACGTGGACTTTATTCTATTTTTTTTTCGTGTGTCGGGTGTTTTGGGCGTCAAGTCGGGACTTACAGAGCGGAGTGAGGCGGTGCAGATCCGGGTTGAGGTGAGTGAGCTGTCGGGCTTTTTCCCTCCGGCAGGAAAAGAGACTTTAATGTATAGACCAGCGGCTGATTTCTGTGCGTTTTCCTGCGCTGACCCCCCTCCTCCGTGCTCCTCTGTCTGCTTGTCCGGACGCGTAATCTAAATCCAACACATCCACTGTTTCCCTCAGCTGGACCATCGTTTTTTCCTTTAACTATTGCATGAAAAATCTCCTAATTTGGGCTTCATTTTGAGGTTTTTATCTAGAAATCCCGCAGCAGCAGAGGCTCGCTCTTGCGCACTTTCACCAGACTCCAGCTGATCATTTTTTGAGCCTAAATGATGACAGAATGGTGCTAAAAGGCTGCTCCCATTACAGATAGCACTCACTACACCGATTTAAAAGCATCCCATTGTAAATTCATCTTTTGTTCTTTGTGTGAGAATCTGTGCTGGAGCGTTTTTCCTGCGCAGACTGTGACGGTGCTTTATCCAAAACTCGGTGCAACAGCTCGGTTAAGTTTAATGCGACAGGACGGACAGCACGAAGCTTTTTCCTTCGACATGGCAAAGCATTCAAAGCCCATTTCACACCTGCGTTTTGTGCACAACTCGTGTTTGTGTGTGTGTGAATGAGCTGCAGCTGAGGGAGAAATCTGCCGGCATCTCCAGAACCTCAGACCCCTCTCTGCGCCGCGCGTCTCTTTCCATCCAGCCACAAGATGGTGGTGTGGATATCTGGATGTGGGGTTTTCAGGGAAAGTGGAAAAAAGAGTGTGGGGGGGGGGGGGGGGGGGGGGGGGGGGGGGGGGGGCTGGTGGTGGTGGTGGTGGTGGAGGGCTGAGTGGGGTTTGTGCATGATTCTTTACAGCTACACTGCTGCTAATGCTGTGATTTTCAGCTTGTATTCATGCTGGGTGGCATTCACACTCCCTCTGCAGAGGAGCTGCAGCTTCCCCACAGGCTGCTGCTGTAACATGGGATGACCTTGTGTGTGTGTGTGTGTGTGTGTGTGTGTGTGTGTGTTGTCATGCACACACCTGCTGCAAGATTAAATGATCATGTTCAGAGTGGATTTAAAGATAATAAGGCTTATGCATGAGGGCACAAATGTCTCTCAAATCTGTCGTCGTCTTTGCAGAAAAGCTGTGAGATGTGTGTGTGCTCGACAGGCGTAGGTGCAACCTTTTTTTTTTTGCATTCATAACCTGCTCAGGTGTGCATCTATGTTGCAAAATGGTCCATGAATGGTCATAAATGTGTCTTAAACGAGAGTCATCCTTAAAAACTTGAATATCTCAGATTTAAAGTGCTGTGAATGGCTGCCTTCCTTCGCCATCTTTAGCAGAGAGGAATAAAAAATGGCCATGCAGGTGTAAGATTCACCTCCGAGCGTCTGCAGGAGACGTGACTTGAAGAATATTCCTCCTGAGATCGTTGTGTGATAGAGATTCAGAGAGCAGGACATCTCCAGCTTTCATTAATCTTGTAATAACGTAAAAAAAAAAAAAAAACTCAGTCATCCTCTTTCAATCATTCCTCCTCTCCTGAGATGTTTTTCTCCAATTTCCAACAAACTGCACGGACGCATTCAGGTCATCCAGAGATGAAAAAGTCAAATATCTCCAACATGCACACATCACGCTGAGCAGGCTCGCTAATCCACTCGTGCTGTCACGTTCCAAATCATATCAAGGATTCCTGGAACAATAAAAAAAAACAAAAAAAACATGTCAGGGGACAGAAGCAGGAAATTGGTTTTATTCTTCTGCCTTTAAAAAGATGGACTCTGAGTTTACTTTGAATCTTATTACTTTCACACTGACCCAAATCTTCCCTGCTGCCCTTTGCAGAACGTGCAAGATGATTTAATTGAATGCAGAAAGTTTGAGTCTGCTCCTCTCATTATGTCATCGCTTCCACTGCAGGCCTCCTGTCATGTGTTACATTAACTTATCTATCTGACAGCTCGTGGTTGACATGCAGATGCTGAGCACGCACACACACACACACGCACACATGACTCACAGGTAGATCCAGCTGGAGTTGTGTAACATGTTGTGTTGTCATGATGTGTGACGGTTGTCTTTTATTGTGTGTAAGCAGAGCTCTGAAGGAGGGATTAATGCACAGTGAGACCTTCTGCTGCGTGTGTTTGCTCTAAGTGCATGTAGGATTGATAGCATTAGCATTTCTCCTCGGGCCTTGGCCAATGTTGACTAGATTTGGTTGAATTTGTGACTTTGGGAGATTTTAGACACTGAAGGATACATGAACTCAAATCTTTCCTTCCATGTCGAGGAAACCAACTCATTTTGTAAACCTGTTTCTGTTGTTTTCATTTTGAAAGCCTTAATTGACATCTTAGTTTTTCACGAGCAGGGCTCAACAGGTGGATGCAAAAGTGTTCAAAGTTCGGCCAGGTTAATGTGAATAAGATCTTCCCTCCTGCACATGTGAGAAGAGAAATGAAGAATGTTTCTGCTCATCAGCAGCTAGAACAGACAGAACAAGTTATTAGTAATTAGTAATGCTTAGTTAAATCCTGGTTGTATATATTCACATTCTTAGTTTTGATATTTTTAGTGCTTATTTACTTTGTATTTAATATTATATTGTGTTTAAATTTGCTAATATTGTGTTTTTTTACTCATATTGTGTGTTGGATAACCTGCTGCTGTAACGCCACAATTTCCCAGTTTGGGATCAATAAAGTCATTCTATTCTATTCTATTCTATTCTATTCTATTCTATGTATTTATGTCGAGCTGAAATAATGCTAAAGTCGTAGTCTAAGTCGTAGCTATAAACGTAGTCGCCATGGGCACAGCTGTGGCTCGGTTGGTAGAGTCGAGGGTTCAATCCCCAGCTCCTGCAGCCACACGTCTCATGTGGCTCCTCTTCATGTTTCTCTGTTAACTGTCATTGACAAACTTTGCTTTTCACAGAAATCATGCATGAGACGTTTAACAGGACAACGAGCGTGAGTGTCCGATGGGGCCCCCTGAGGGAGGTTCCTACTCCTTGCATCCTCGTGATAGATAGGATCTACGGTTGGTTTCCTATAGATATCGATCAAACGACGTGCAACACGAGTGAGTTTAACGCGTTTGTACCTGCTGCTCTGATTGGCCGTTCCTCAGAGGCAGGAGAAGCAAACACAGAAGCAGAATAGAAATCAATCTTTGAAAAGAGGATAATGACTCAGATTTTCAAACAGTCGATCCTCTGAGACAGACGTGGCGCTGTGTTCAGTTTGTTCACAGAGAAAGAGACTAAATGTTTGTGTTAGAAGACATTTCTCCTTTTTTTCCTTTTTTTTATTTTTGGAGATGAATAAAAGACGTGGAATCAGGTCGATTCTTTGGCACAGGAATCTCACTTTGATCGTTTGAACATTTAGAGAAAATCTAAGTTTGACTTTAGTCCGCTGAGTTTCTCTCCAACATACAAACAAGGTTTGATGTCAATAAAACTTCAGGTTGCACTTTAGATTCAGGACGAGAAAACGATCAATGATGAGCAGCTGATTAGCATAAATAATCTCAATATGAAGCACTGTAACTTTTAATCCCACATTCTCTGAGGGTTCATAGCAAAATGCTCCTTTGTGAGCAACATCCTCGTTTTGTCGGAGTTATCGAATGTGACTTTTGCAAACACTTTGAGTACCTTGAATCAGCTGCAGCCGCTCCTCTTCAGGTAACTTGCCTCAAACATCTGCTCCCAAATAAATATATTGATAAAACCGCTAAGAGGCCGTCGGTGCATCGATTCTCAGGATGAAGAGTGTGAAAGGAGAAACGCCTCGGGGGCTTTGAATACTTGTGCAAGACGCTCAAATTGTGAGTGTTCTGCAAAGTAAGAAAGATGAAGACTGGAGCTCAGAGCAAGTCGAAGTTTAAAGCATCCTAACAGAATTTTACACGTAGAAAACTTCTGGCTCAGGCTGTGGCTCAGTCGGTCGTCTCCTAACGGGAAGGTAACCAGCGTCCTTGACAACGACCTCCCTCAGCGTCCTCATTTAGGTGTTCTTGTTAAATATGAAGGAACACAAACAACGCCTCATTTCAACCTCTGCTTTCAGCTTCAAGTGGAAGCCGTTCATGAAAGTAAAGTTTGGGAGATTCTCCCAGCAAACGATGAAATCAAACTGACTGTGTTTGAGTTTATTTCCTCTCATGATTGATGAAGCACACAGACGATTTCCAGTCCTGACATAAAGAATATTTAACGTCTGAAAGGATGCCATTCTATAAAGTTTTATGGCTCAGGTAAATCTCATCACGACGCTTCAGAAGCTTCTCTCCCCTGCTCTTCATAACACATGCATCATATACTAGATCCAGTGTGTTTGAGGCTAATTACCATCGCAGCGGTCCGGAGCGTCCGTGACATTTCATAGAGAGGAGGACCGGGTGCCTGTGACGGGATCATTTCATTATGATTGAAATGCAACTGACAGCGGACGCCTTCATTGATATTCATAAGACTTATCTCCTTTCATCATTAAAAGAGGGAACAACGTCTGCAATCTCCCGTGAGCTTCTGCAGAGGAGAGGCAGCGAGCGCGCTCTGCATTCACCCCACGCCGTCTGAAGGACGCTTTGTCATAAAAATAAAAAAAAACGCCCCATTATTACAAACAGCCAACACTGTGTCAATTTATCGCATTCACAAGCGCGTAACCTGAGTGAACAATGAGCGGCACTTCAACCTGTGCAGAGCGGGGCGCCTCTGCTTTCAGCCCATTTCTGAGCGGCTGCGTGAGGCAGACACAGACGCTGGTATTCTTCGTTTAGTGGTAAATGTCATCATTATATAAGCGCTGTGTTGTGGGCAAACAGCCGGTGACGAACAGCCCGTGTGTGCGCACTCAGACACACAGCAAAAACGATGCAATCAAATCAATGTACACTGAAGAGGCTGCAGAATGTGCCGCCATATTTTCGGTGAGACACTAAAACTGAAATGGAGCTGCACACATTGTTTTCATTTGTACCCGGGCCTATTTTAGAAAAT